CTAAAAATTACATGTATGTCTTCGTTAATGTTATTATGGCAGATAGAAAGTCGTCTGTGAAAGTCTACCTTTAAATATCCCCTTGAAAATGTGGTGAATAAAAGCGTCTCCTGGTTCGGCCATGAGGACGACCAGCGACAGCACGAGGAAGAGGGAGATGCACTTCATCCTGAAAACAAGAGCACCACTCATCACACATGTTCACAGTCAGATTGTAATAGAAACGAAAAGAAAACTTGTTTTACATTACAAGCTTAATGTTAGCAGCTGTCAAGACGGCTTTACTCATGTAAGCATATTACGGTGGGACTTCCATGTCTTACCTTTCTGATTGAGGTGGAGGTCAACAGGCTGTTGTCAAAGACACCAAACTGAGCCGTGTCCTGGCTTTATAAATCATACAGCCTCTCAAGCTGTGTCATTCTGATCAAGTGTTTTTAAAAAAAAAATACGTCACAGGCACCACAAGAATCTTGTTGTTATCAGATCATAGACATTGTGAAACATATATATTTAGCTTCTGAGGTAACAGTCAGAGCATCAGCACCCACTGAAGACATGGCATGTGTAGGTAGGAACTGGTGGTTAGGTCTCAACATGAGTTTGAAACCCACCAGGTCCAACTGGTTTTCTGCTCAGTGGCTTTCCTCTTGGTGCTCCACTTCTCTTGCAGGCCTTTCCCTGATGCTGCCCTCGATCAAAACCCTGTCCTCAGACCTCGAGTTGGTCCCCGAACAGCTACGGCTTCCTAAAATGGGGGGTGATGGGTCAAATGCAGAGGACAAATTTCCCCCCAAGGGATTTAATGAAGTGTAACTTAACTATAAATATCAAGCAGCAGGTAGCAAATACTTGTTTTAACCTCTGGATGCACGTTGCGTTATCATAAGGACGCTGCAGGCCTCTGAAAACACTGTAAGCTTGTGCATGTGTTCGCTGCAGCCGTCGTGTTTCTTAGCTGTTTACATCACCTTGATCTACAAACCCTGAGTACCATCTGTCTTTGAAGGGCATTATATGTGCTTAACCTGTGCTTCGGTGCAGAGGTTAAGTGCAGCCGTGCAGCAGCTTTTTAGTTTAAGTAGACATGAATGGTGGTTCATGCTCCTGACTCCAGAAAGGCACGAAGCTGTGTGACTTGTGAAGCTATACGTTAGGAGCACGTGTAACACCACTGGTACTTGTTCCACGCATGTTCACGTGCTGCACAAAGAAGGAGCTGATACAGTGGCTACAACTGCCTGACATGGGAGGCCTTTATTATTCTCATGCATGATTCACAACACAGTTTGAGTTAAAACGTCAGTCTAGTTTAGGCTACAAAATAATATTGTGGACCACTTCTGCAATTTTGTGAACACTTCAGAGTATTTTGTATCCCCAAAAAATGAAACAGTGTTGCTACCATCACATGCTAACAGCTTGTGTCTATGGAATTACATTTGTGCCATAATCCTGAGCACGCAATGGGAAATTTTGATCGCAGAAAAAAAATCTTGAGCAAATAAAAACTTAGCAAACAAAAATCTCACACATATTATTCCATAGTTTTCTTTTTTTTTTTTTTTGTTTTGTTTTGTTTTTTATGTAAAAAAGACACATTTGAAACGTCTCCTATTACAGCAACACCATAACTATTAAGTTTCCTGTGTGCAGAGCTGACATCTGGCATCTTAAAGCGAGCTACTCAAGGTTTAAAGTTAGTTCCTTAACGTATGAGGAAGGAATCAGCTAAATGTGTGATCTGAATGATGAACTATAATCCATCCATTATCTATACACCGCTCCTCATGAGGGTCGTGGGGGGGCTGGAGTCTATCCCAGCTGACTTAGGGTGAAGGCAGGGGACACCCTGGACAGGTCACCAGTCTATCACAGGGCTACACTTAGAGACAGACAACCAAGCACACTCACATTCACACCTACGGACAATTTAGAATCACCAATTAACCTCAACATGTTTTTGGACTTTGTGGGAGGAAGCCAGAGAACCTGGAGAGAACCCACGCTGCACGGGGAGAACATGCAAACTCCACGCAGAAAGATTCCGTTGCCTCCACCGGGGCGCGAACCGGCGACGTTCTTGCTGCGAGGCAACAGTGCTACCAACTGCGTCACCCTGCAGCCCATGAACTATTATGATAATGTGAAATATTTTGCTATCTTGCAGGTGTTTCTACATCTGATGTTATTCAGGTCAAATAAAATGCAGAACGATTAGAATAAGTGAACTCGTTCGGCATCTTCGGACACAAAGGTATATTAAAATGTGCAAAGCGGTCACTGCTGTAGAAAGGCCATGACTCACATATCATCATTTCCATATTCATTTATTCAGATTTGCCCTTTAAATTAAACAAGAGACAAATGTTTTGGTGCATTACAATGAAGATGTATTAAAGATATAATGACTTATATTTCTTGCTACATTAATTTAAATTCAGAGAAGAAGAATTTCCTTTCATCTTACTTTCGTGACATTTCAAATGGCTTCACCGTCAGTTGTCTGGGGCGAGTCCTCGCCTCCGCTCCTGCACTGAGCCACAAGAGCTACATTATCGGGAAATATACCAGAATTCTCCTGTAATACTGCAGGACACAAACATATTTCAGGGTCACATGAAAACTCTTTGGCTTCCTGCTGCTGGCTCTGTGCACTGCTTGGTTCCAGTGACATGCCTTCACACTGCAACGCAACCCTCCTCAGTATAGAAGGAGGAAAACGAGTCGGCTGAGTCCACCTTCTGCTGCCTCTACAGTGTAACACTAAAGGTATAGAGGACCTACCTACAGGATCTGTAGGTTTGTCTCCCATCTTTAGAGGCAGCTCTGCTTTCTCTCCCAGCTCATGCTTTCACAGGATGGCAGCTTCATTTCAGCAGCTGGGATTTTCTCACCTGCCCACAGTTTGGGTGACATGGTAAGTTTCTAACACGTTAAAATCACTTTGTTAGGATTTGATCACAAACAGTGCTGCACACAAATTGTATAAGTGTAGCACAGAAGGTTCATGTTCTAATGATCATTTGTACCTGGCTAACTTACATAAAATATTTAAGCGTGGCTTGTTTTGACATCTATCCACGTGTGTTTGTTTGCTTCCTATGTGGGTTATCTAGGTTAATTAATACCAACTGGCAGCCAGGGATCGGCTCCGTCATGCCTCTACGTTGCAATGCTCTCGTAGCTCTGTTGTCACTTCATGAATATTACATCCTTCCATATTAACATGGAGTTCCCACTGCCATATTTGGCATATGTGATTGTGCGTGCATACAGATTGTGCCCTCGTAACTTTTTGCAGATGAAATCGACAACAATCATTGGCCAATACATGGGGCGCTGTTCATGGGGTTACCTAAATATCAATGCGCGTGCACATGGCCTTAAAGCACGATTCTCATTAGACCTTGTCAGGGTAAAACATAAGTATGCTGCCGAAGCATGCTAAGAATAACAAAACCACGTGCAGTAGTAAATCCTTCTTTCTTCCTGCCTCAAGAACCCAAGAGAAACGTCATGATAGTTGTGAAGAAAACACAAGTTTTGCGACTTCTGTTAGTGTGACTGACAGCCAGTGGTGGGCCGTGAATTTTACTCCGAGGACTTCAGTGGTGTCCGACCTGAATCAAACCACGTCTTAACACCGTCATTATGACGCCACGGCTTTAGAAACCATCAGTGTTATGCAGACAGGCAGCATAACAGGACATTGCATGGCAGACAGGTGTCTCATGTAGCGAGAATGAATGCCATTACTAAAGCAAGAAACCCAGTTAAAACAATTCAACACGTCTCTTTTCACTGCAGCCACAGCTGTACATCACATCAGGGTTCTCACCATGCTACTTCCCTGAAAAAACACGCTGTGTCTTGGCTCGCTACGCTGTCTTTCAAGCTGCGTGTTTGGAAAATCTGACGTGCAAATTTTCCTAAGAAACTTGTTTCTGTTGTCTTTGCTTTGAAAGCTGCTATTTGTTAGCAGCAAAGACACTAACGTTAAGAGGGGGGAGTGTCGAACACCCCCCCCATTATGCTCAAATATTTCTGGTGAGAGCCCTGCAGATATGTAATTATACATTTGTTTATATGTAGACAAACTTAAGTTTTGCTTAAACATCAAAACATCACAGGCCAACAACAAAACAACCAAAATAAAAAAAATTTTTTAAATGCATTTATTGAAAAAGAGAAAATAACTTTTACTTAAATTTTCTCGAGGTGACTGCTAACATGGGGTTGCCAATGAATGTCGAGACGCTTGCAGGTCTTCATTGATGAGCCAACGCACTAGCAGAGCATTCTGGGATGTGTAGTATTAGCGGCGCATGCAATATTTACCGGAGGGCCAGCTCTAGTAGACGTTGATATTATCTCACGGGCCAAATATAATTACACTACAGGCCAGATTAGGCCCGTGGGCCTGAGTTTGACACCTATGTCTTATATGTTACAGTGATAGATAAGTACTGCAAGATTAAATGCAACAAAACTCATCAAAAGATACAGAATGACTACTTATCCGTTCAGTGTTTCCAGTAGCATTGCATTCTATTTGTAGTAATAACTGATCAGGTCACCATGCATAAAGTGCTCCACTGCAAATATTTCAGTTGTCAAGTATTTTGTAAAAGCGACTCTTTCTCTGTTGCATGAGCCAAATCAGCAGCACATAACTGCAGCAGCCACTGCTGAGCGTACGCTAACAGAGGTGATCAAATGACTGTAATCAGCCATGAAGTGTTCAGAAAGGCCCAGACTTCAGTATGACGACTACAGCGACTACCATCCTGCACTAGAGAAGGAAATACAATGGTAATATAATATAATGTATTTAAAATGAAAGCGTCTCCTGCAGATGTGGGGCGATAACACAGCGCCGACTTTATGTAAAGAGGTGGGTCTCTGAGATGAACAGCATGTATTAAAAACAGACTCATCTATTAGAGTTAACTTGAATGCATCGGTTTGTGGCGTGTTTACGCAGAAGTGCCCATGACAGGAACAATTCATGAACTCCAAATTAATTGTATTATGTAGGAAAAAACCCCAACAACAACCGTTCTCCATGCTAGAGAGGAAGCCCATCTGTGTAATGACATATGATTTTAGAAAGTTAATATGTGCCACAAATACGTCAATGTGGGAAACACTGCAATTTCATGTTTATTGGGATCTTTGAAATTGTTAAAGCATCCTGACATTTAGCAGGAGAATACTTTGCAGAAGATGTTGTTGTGTTTGCATATCTGATAATGAATTTAGATAGTAAATGTCATTCCTAGAAAGCACATAATGTGACTTATTACACATGTTGAAGTGATTTTTCAACAATGATTATGCAAATGACTATTACACCAAGAAAAAAATAAATAAATACAATCAAATAAATAGCAGAAAAGCTTGATATTTATTCCAATTAACAGCATTTTTTTTTCACACAAAAAAGGACTAAAGCCTTAAGCACTGGCTAGAAGTTCTGCAGATGATTCATATGTTGAGGAGCAACATTCACTGTCAGAAGGGCAATTCGTTTTTCTTTCATCCAAATCAGGAGTTAATGTGACACAAAGGAATACAAAGAATGTTCTGTTTCTAATCGATGCACATAGTTTGAACAGATTAAGAGTAAATATGACAATTAGCAGGCAAACATGCATATCCACTTACATGACATGATGCCATTCAGAATTGATTAAAACAAAATTTCAAGGGACGGTGGATAGATTCTATATTATGACGTTTAAAGAAAAGCATTTCTTTTCATGCTAAGCGTTTCTTCACGGCAGCTCCTGCACGGATCCCGGTAGTCCAGTCGAACTCTGCCTAATCTGAGGTGAAGAAGATTTTGTCTTGCAGCTGATCCTGCGCGCTCTCTTTCCCGTGCACCAGCCTGGCAGAGTGACAAGCATTTGCCCAAGAAAGTTGTTTTATTAATATACGTTTTTTTTTTGTAGCACTTTAAATAATTTACTGAATCAGTAAAAGCAGAGTGACAGCTCCTTACCTGTGGAACCAGTTGCCGACTGAAGGAAACAGAAAAGAATCAAACAATTAGAAGAAATTGGAACATTACATTTCACAGTTTCACAACAATACATTTAGTAGTAAACCACAGAGAGTGCAGCCCTTATGCCATCGTCAATGCCCTGCATTCAGAGGCTTTCTCTAAACAACATGTGCAAACATGGTGAATAACGTCAGTACGATTCTTGATATTGTCTATTGTCTACAGATCACAAACTAATCCTGTCCGTTCTCAATGCTTGGTGTTTCAGTGACACCACAGAAATACTGAAATACGATACCCACACCTGTCCTACACGGCTAACATCTGCATTTATGTGAGAAAACAGCAACGCCTGCACACTGACTCCAAAGCCGAATCTGCAGTCGTCGCTTTCTCATCAGATAAAAATGATTATATTTATAGCAGCAGGCTGATAAGGGGACTGTGATGACGGGTATGGTTAACCATCCAAGGCACAAAGGCGATATGCATTTCAAAACTGCTAGAAAATGTGGAAGTACAGATCTAATAACGATCACAGTTATCACGTATATCAACTAATACATCCTAATGAGTTACACACGTCATTATTTGAATGTCTTGTATTTTAGGTACTTTTAATTCTTAGGAATCCATAAGTGTTCTAAACGCTGGCATTGCTTTATGTTGCTCCGCTGCATTTCCACCCATGAAAAGTCAAACCGCCTGCTGTTAACAGAGCTCGTATAAAGAGTGATTTATACCATGGGCAAGGCCACTGGCAATTCCGTTGACAATGTGGTGAAGAAAAGCTTCGCCAGGTTCAGCCATGACAACGACGAGGAACAGCACAAGAACCACCGCTGCCAACTTCATCCTGCAAACACGAAGCAGACGCACAGCAGGAGCCGTACTTAGACTTTCAGAAACAAAGTGTACAGTTTGTTTTTTTATTTACCAGTGCAATCTATACCGCGCTGTTTACTGTGTCGATGCCCGTGCTATAATTAAATGAGGATTAATTATTCAGTCCTTACCTTCCTGCTGATGGAGTCAAAAGTCAGAAAGCTGCTGTCACAAAGAGCTAGGCTAGCAGTGTGGTGTAAATCTGGGTGGTGGCAGAAGCATCTCTTTTTATAGCAATAGATGAATGCTTATTTTCGTCTTCTTCAGTGTTGCGTAATAAGGAAGCCGAAAAAGACAGTCGATTTTGTTTGTGTGAAATTCAAATGGGGCCAAGGAAATGCGTTCGATGCTGCACACGATGCTTTTTAATAAATGTTAAACGAGGCACCGGTGAATTCAGATCCACGTTTCCACAAGTTACATATGAACAGCATTGATTTTATATGTAGAACTTTCATCCGATTTACTCTTTACGCTATACTGTACATGTGGAGCTACAGTTCTACGCTACTCTACATCTTTCAAAAAGAACAGATATTGACTTGAATTGAATTTGTGACTCGCTAAAAAAAGAAAGATTTTCATTTCAAAATATTCTCTAAATTGCCCTGTATTGTCAGACTAAGGTAGCCTTGGAATATATATATATATATTTCAACTTCACCAAATGCATCAACTATGACAATGTAATAAATTAATCTGATCATTAAATGTAGATGTTACTGAGATGTGATGAGATCAGTTTCCCTTTTCAATACTGAATGCAGGATCTTTACTTATAACAGAGTACACTTTGGTCTTGCTACTTTTTTTTTTCTCTTCTAAATAACGATGTACATTTTTCTAATCATTTTGTACGTCAGCAACCCAGAGCAATGTTTCAGGATTTATCAATAAACCAACTTGTAAATCAAGTGCAGCTAATGTTGGCTGCAGCAGCTGAAGTGTAGAGTTCTCACAAATATGGGTCGGTATCAAAACTTCAATCTTCTCTCTGTGTTTATGAGATATTTATCACTGCCTCTAATTTGTCTTGAACTTAACATTAAAAATGTTCAATTGCAGAATGTTTTATTGTGACCACCAAGAAATGTAATGGACAAGACTGCAGAGCGTTTAGGACGCACACCATCAAAACACTAAAACCACAGACCCGTCCTGTCGGCACTAATGGGACCTTATGTGACTTCTGAAAAAGGAAATAACACCTTCTTATTGATAAGCAATGATACACACAACCTGTCAAAGTAACAGCATGACAAGTTTTGTTGAAAATAGCCTCACACCTTCTGGTGTGACTCATCTTATGTGGCTACCGTTTGCTAAATTCTCCCAAAAAGCTTGTTGACTTGTGTTTTAGTTATTATTCCCAACACAAACAGAATTCTTTATACTTTTCATTTCCTATAACTGTATTTGAAAAAATCAACCCAAGACAAGAGGAGGAGGTTTCAGTGAGCCGTAATGCAAATTTATTTTTTTAGTTTACCAAAATGAATCAACCACAATTACTTTATCAGCAGAAACAATGCAATCATAATGTACTTTCAGGACGTGGTTGGCCACGTCGATTGACGCTTTTCTTTTTTTATGTTAAAAGCAAGCCATTTCTCTTTTCATGTAAAGCCGATCTTCAGACAGAGCCCAGAGTTTAGTCAAAAGCATGCCGTCGGTGGTTGAAGTCAACTGAACGTTTGTCCAGCTGCTGCTGCTCCTCCAGCTGCTGCTCCAGCTGCTTGTCCATCATGTCTTTTTTCTCACCGATGAAACTGGTGGAGGGAGAGTAGATTCCAGAGTTTAGACACAACAAAAAAATTATGGACAAAATAGTAGTGCAACAACTAATTCTATTTCTTATATTTGACAGATTGTGTGATGTTAGCAGTGGTAGAAATAGAAGCAATGTCCTTACTGTTTGAGCACGTGGTGTCCAACTGAATGAAATACACAAAAAAGAAACCAATCACCATCACTATCACGGATCAACACTCGGCATTACTAGTTATAGAACATAACAGTCAGAGTGTGCTGTAAATAAGTGCAATAAAAAGAAAGAAAGTGATCTCATGACTTTACCGTGAATGAGTGCTCCCCAAAAACACTCCCCAGGTTCGGCCATGAAGACGACCATGGACAGCACAAGGAAGGCCGCAGTGCACTTCATCCTGCAAAGACAAATAATCACACTGGTCAAATACGTCATTTTATTCAACTCTGTTAATTGTGCGTTGCAGTTACTGTGTCTTATTCTCAAGTCAATTAGATGTTTAGTTCTTACCTTTCCACGGAATTGATCTTTTCAGAGTGATGAGAGTTTCACAGACTGATATGTGTGCCCACTGGTTCATCTCTTTATATATACATGCAGGACCAAATGGGCGTGAACATGAAGTCTTATTGCAGTTGAGCCAAACGGGTTATCACTCTACATCCACCATGAAACCAGCATTACATCAGACACGCCTCCATTCTACCATCACTTCACTCAAGTTCAGTTTTGCTCATGTTAGGAAGACAATAGTTAATTAAACAAGGAGTCATTTGA